GAAGCCCTTTGGACTAGTGCCTCAAATTCCCAAATCTGTCCTAAAGCAGGATTTGCTGCTCTCAAACAAGATCAACACGGGTGAGGGATGCTTCTCCGTGAGTTAAGACAGGCCCCGGGCCCAGTACCCAGGTGGTACCACACACACCTCACAGGTTGCTCTGCCTGCACTGCAGGCCTCTCACTGCACTCTTTTCCATGATGGGGCTGTCATCTATGCATCTCCCACTGTGCCTCACACCCTGCCTCATGCAGAGGAGAAGGTCAGTAAACAGGAGTAAAACCAGCATGCCACTCATCTCACAGGGGAAACACGTGGAACATTGGAGGGAAAAAAGAGAAGAGGAGTAGCTCACGCCTGTAATCCCAGCACTTAGGGAGGCCGAGGCGGGCAGATCACCTGAGGTCAGGAGTTCGAGACCAGCCTGGCCAACGTGGTGAAACCCCGTCCCTACTAAAAATACAAAAATTAGCTGGACGTGGTGGCGCACACCTGTAATCCCAGCTACTCTGGCGGCTGAGGCAGGAGAATCGCTTGAACCCAGGAGGCGGAGGTTACAGTGAGCCAAGATTACTCCACTGTACTCCAGCCTGGGCGACAGAGCAAGATTCTGTCTCAAAAAAAAAAAAAGGAAGAGAGGTGGAGTAAGAAAGTGCCCCAGCACCAGGCATTTCAACATAAACTCCTTCCACAGGGGCACCCACATATGTACCTTAATCCCGCTCCAGCCACAGCCCTGGCTCTCAGGACTCCCCACACAGGGGTCCGATCATGCAAAGCTTCTGGAGGTAGCAATGAATATTGCCCGTGGGTTTAGCACTAGACATCAACGCCACCGTTGTGCCAGTCCTACTATTGCCAGCTGCATCCATGATCACGAAGTGCTCTGCCTCTTCCAAAGTGTCCTGGGCTGTGAAACCCAGGCTAGGGGAAGCCTAAGGCTTTTTCTCTGGTCACATTCGGGAGAGCCCTGACTGCCACCCATAGATCCAGAGGCTCACAGGGTGCCCAGCACAGCCTCCACCGGCTCTGGGACCCTGAGCACTGCCTGACCCTCTCATTCTCAGTTTCCTTATCTCCAAAATGGCCGAGATACTTCGGTCACCCTGTTGGAATGTTATAAAATTCAAATTCCACACAATAGGTATAATGTGCTGGGCACGGTTCGTGGCATGAAGCCAATGCTCAATAAATGCAAGTTATTCTATGTGTAGCTCCAGGACTGGGAAAGCATCTCAAAGGAGGGAAAGGAACAAGGGGCATCAAAGAGAAAGGAGGATGGGGGCATCACCTCAAAGCGGGAGATGAAGTCCTTCAGATTTGGGAAGGCATCCAAGCACTTGGGCTCAAATGTATGGTGCAGGTCAAGGACATCATAGATGAGAAAATCTACAAAAGTGATCTGCACAAGGCCAAGAATATGTGGGCTGGAACCTCCATAACACATGAAGCAAAACAGATCTCATTCCCCATTGCACTCCTCCTTTACCGCGTCTCCTGCAAACCATGGCCGCTTCCCCAGAAACTGTGAGTAGAGCTTTAGCTTTTCAGGGAGTTCCTCCAAGTATTTTGGCTTCAGTGTCTCCTGAGGTGGGAAACAGCTGTCACCACCCTCAGACAAAAGCTCCCTGCATAGACATGGCCTCCCCAGGGCTGTGGATGGCCCAGGCTGGCCGTGGGCAAGCAGCCGTCTTCCCCACAACTAAAACTGGGGCAGTGCCCAGGCTTCAGTTGGATACATCAGCAATTATTAGACTCTGACTGGGTGCCAGACCCTATCTGAAGTGATCAGAAGGCGGAGAGGAATGAGATGCTGTCCCTCAATCTGTTATCACTGACCTCCCAATAACCTCTGGGTCAGCCCCAGTGGCGCCCGAGCACCTGGCAGCCTTTGGACCCAGACAGAATCCCGGGCGGAATCATGGATGCAAAGAACTACAGGAGCTCAGGGAAAGAAGTAGAGAGTTCCTCCTAATGGGGTGGTAAGAGAAAACATGGACATTGACCAGTTTCCAGGGAGATGAGAAGTTCAGGTTGAAAGGAAAGAGGGAGAGGAATAAAGGCCCGCTGGCTGCCTCTGAGCTGCCTGTTATGAAAATGCGTGGATCCCTATGCATGTCAATGACAGCACTTGGAAAACTG